CTGGTGGGGGAAAAGACACGTACGCGATTACCTAACAGAAAGTCCCGTTTCTCCAGGTTTTGTTTCCAAATGGCACCAATATATGGCTGCTTGTCGCCAACCAATGTTATGTGATGAACAGATGCTTCAGGCCTGGGCCTGAAGACAAACATCATTGCTAACGCCTGTCAAAACAGGAAGAATTATGTAAGTGGAAAAGGTTCAAGCCAACAAAATAAAGGGGTAAAGAGCATACTATGTGCTAGATAAAGATAAACTGTCTTTGGATGCCTCCCGTCCGGTCCAGGGCCAGCCCCTGCTCACCCGATAACAGAGCTCAGGCGGCCAAGTGCTGTGCCGAGGGACGGCGTGCTGATCAGGAGAGGAAGCGGGCCGAGGCGACATCTGAGCTGAGCCGTGCAAGTTAAGAACAATTTCATCTGGAGCGGGGTGCAGGAGCAAAGGCAAAGAGTGAGGAGCACAGCTTGTCTCGGGGCACAGGCCCTCCTGGTGACACGGCCGAGAATGCACAGAAGCCAATGGGCAAGGCGGCCTAAGCCCAGAGTGTGGAGGCCTTGAGTGCCATGTTAAGGAGTTCGCATTTTAGGCTCTGGAAAATGGATGTTTCTCAAGGATTTGGAGGAGAGGGACAACACGGTCACATTACTTTAGGGGAATCCAGGTGAAAGTGTAGAGGATTGATAAGAGGAGGAAGACACAGGAAGCAGAGATCAGAGCATTCTTCGTTGGACAACCAGTTTATTGAGTGCTTGCCCCATGTTAGGGCCCCGGGAATAGAACGGTAAGACTGTCCCCCCGCCCACGCCCGTCCTCACCCTTAGACTCCACTGGCAGAAGTGAGACAAACCACAGACACGCAAACCCGTCAAGGAACGAGATAACTTCACGTACATTTGGAACAGAAGTGCTGTCAAGGAAATCAGTGCTAAGAGGAGGGGCTTGTTCAGACTGTGTGGTCAGCGACAGCTTTCCCAAGCAGGCAGCGTTCAACCTGAGACTGGAAGGATGCGAGCGGGAGGCAGTGTTTCAAGGCAGAACAGCTTGGACAAAGGACCTAAGATGGGAATGAACTTGGCTTCAAGAACAGAAAGTAAACCAGTGCACCTAAGCAAATGAGAGGCGGGGAGAACGGCGGGAGACCAAGGAATCTGCCGGACTTGCTGACTGGCTGCCAGTGTGGAGAGGAGGCAGGACGGGGCGGAGGTGGAGAGACTCCCGACTGTAGCAACTGCTCAGTGACGCCATTAATCACCACAGGAAACACTAGTGAGGAGGGGGTCTGCGGTGGGGCCGGGGTTGGCAGGGCCCTCTCTGGGGTAAAGTGAGTGCTGTCGGAATCAGGCACTTGGCTCACGGGGAGCGGAGCAAGGCAGCAGTGAAAACTCACCAAGACACAATGGTCACTGGAGACTCGCAAGGGAGGAGGGTGGGAGTGGGTGAGGGAAGGAAAATTCCCTGTGGGGTACGACGTACACTACGCTAGTGATGGGTACACCAAAGCCCAGACTCCACCACCATGCAATACATACATGTGATGGAATTCAACTTGTGCTCCCTGAATCTATAAACAAAAAAAATAAAGCTCGCTGAGAATCAGCACCTACCCAAGACCAAGGTGGCAGACACAGGGCTTTAGCGAGACACTTTCCTGTTACAACATTTTCTTTCTTTTCTCCTTTTTTTTTTTTTTTTTTTGAGACAGAGTCTCACTGTGTTGCCCTGGCTAGAGTGAGTGCCATGGCGTCAGCCTAGCTCACAGCAACCTCAGACTCCTAGGCTCAAGCAATCCTCCTGCCTCAGCCTCCCGAGTAGCAGGGACTACAGGCATGCGCCACCATGCCCGGCTAATTTTTTTCTATGTATTTTTAGCTTTCCAATCAATTTCTTTCTATTTTTGGTAGAGACGGGGGTCTCGCTCTTGCTCAGGCTGGTCTCGAACTCCTGAGCTCAAACAATCCGCCCGCCTCGGCCTCCCAGAGTGCTAGGATTACAGGCATGAGCCACCGCGCCCGGCCTCTCAAGGTTTTAACATGGTTATTGCCAACTGTGTTTCAATTTACTGGCTAGGGAACTGCTGTGGCCTAAATGTGTGCACCTCCCTCCTCGCCAATTCCTGTGTTGAAACTCTAACCCGCAATGTGATGGTATTAGCAAATGGGGCCTTCTGGAAGGTGATTAGATCACAAGGGTGGACCCTTCATGAGTGGGATTCGTGTCCTTGTAGGAGGCTCCAGAGCTAGCCAGCCCCTTCCGTCGTGTGAGGAATAGGAAGAAGGCGCCACTATCTAGGAAATGGGCCCTCACCAGACACGGAATCTGCTGGCCCTTGACCTCGGGCTTCTCAGCCTGTAGAACTGTGAGAAATAAATCTTGGTTTATAAATTACCCAGTTTATTGTATTTTGTTATAGCAGCCCATATGGACTAAGACAGGAAGATAGGAGTTTTTAGTACAAAGAGCATTTATTTTAAGTACACCGACTTTTAGGAGCCTGTGGAACTGCAGCTGGCTGCGAGTCTAGACTTTAGGAAAGCCTTACAGACTCCAGGTATGGATTTGAGAGTCATTAGCTTGCAGGCAGAAATTGATGTCAAAAGTGACCTTTTGGGGGAATATAATAAAAGAGGGGTGCCAATGGCTGCCCTGGGGAATAATGAGATTTAAAGGAAGGGGTGGAAGAAAAGGACCCTACTAAGGGGTCAGAGAGACAGCCAGAGACACGACGAGCGCAGTGCCAGCTCTCGGATTTCTGCATACGTTTCTGCAAGAGCCGCACTACAGCTCACAGGTTAAAGGCACAGACTCGGGGGCCAGAGTGCCTGGGTACTGAGAGATCCTAGTTCTGCCACTTCCTATTTACATGACTCTGGGCAAGTTATTTAATCTATGCTTCAGCTTCCTCCTCTTTTAACAGGGGAATAACAATACTGTCTGGTCTATGATTTGAGTTCTCCCTCCTTAAAAGATAATCCATTAGCCTGTTACTGCTTCATGGATATTGGTGACAGATACAAGACAGGGTCAGAGACAAAGGACTTTCTTACTCACGCACAGTAGGCAGCACGAGCATCAGCAAATGGGACGGTTCCATGAGCCCCCAAGTCCCAGGGGCCTGGAGGGATGCTGTGCACCCAGTAGGTCTGCATTGCAGCAGAGGAACGCTGAGCTTAGGGAGTCCTCTTCTCTTTTGTAGCAGGCAGTGAGCAAGCTTGTTCTTTGTCCTGGAGGGATACAAGGTTTCCTGCTGCAAACACAACACCCAGAAATGCCCCGGGGAAGGGCAGTTTGTCCAGACTTTGCATGCTTGGCATACCCAGCACGAAGTACAGGAGCAGGAGACCCAATGAGGGGTGCCTCAGAAGAGCCCCTGCCTCCTAGTGCTGCTGCGAAGATGAAGGGAGTAAATCCAGGTGAAGTGCCACCAGCAGTGCTCTGTGTCCACTGCCATTACTAGGGGTGGCCATATGGGGGAAGGTGGGGCTGGAACCTGTGTCGTTTACATCTAAAATTGAAAAAAGTAATTCAACAAATATCTATTGAATGCTCCAAGCACTGGGGATACAGCAGCAACAGAACAGTCCTTGACCTCCAGGTGCTTACATTCCATCACAGGGAGACAGACACCAAATAAACTACCAGGGGAGCAAATTATATAGGGCCTACAGACCAGCAGAAGGACTTGGAACTGGCCAGGGGATAAGCCATCAGAGGTTTGTACAAAGCACACGATGACCTGATTGAACAGGCTGCCTGCAGCGAGAATAGACTTGGGTGGTGGAGTGCTGCTGGAGGCAAGACGGAAGCAGGGAGACCAGTCTAGGACACAAGGCAGGGCGAGGACATGCCAGCGTGTAGCTGGTGGCAGTGGTGAGGTATTCACATTAGGCCTGTCACAGACAGACAAGCAAGCGAAAGGGCCTTGTGTTCAGCAATCAAGCACGTGGACCGTGGGGCGCCTGTCAGCTGTCATCCTCGGGCTGCTTCCCGCTACTGCAGGTAAAAGCCAGGCAGCAGCAGGGTGAAGAGCAAGTAACTGGAGTCAGTGGGCTGAAACTTATTCCAGAAGTTTGCCATGAAGGAGAGAACTTGGGATCTTGGAAAAGGAAATTTTTATAATGCGCACGATTTAAGCATGTTTAAATTCAAAAGGGGCTATCGAGAAGAAAAGGTTAACCAGGCAAGAGAGGAAACAAAGCAATGTCCCCAGAAAGGTGGCAGGGCACAGGTACAGGGTTATAACTGGCAGAATAGGAGAGAAGGGCAAGAATGGGTGTCACTCAGATAGGTTTATAGATTCAGTAGCAGCAACTCATGCAGGCAGAGTGTATCTCATGGCCTCTGTACTCTCCCTGAATCAGGAAGCACAATGGTCTCACAGGGTGACAGGGTGAAGTTAAGGGAGTTGGAGGTTTGTGGAGAATTTCAGAGACGTGGGCATTGCTGGCTGAGAAACCAGTGCAGCAAGGGATGGCTGAAAAAGCACAGGGAGGGCAGAAAAGGGCTGGGCAGGATCCATTTCCTACAGCTGAGGAAGAAGCAGAGGGGCCCAGGCGGTGGCAGCAGGAGGGCCGAGGCGGCAGGGCAGAGGCGGCAGGGCAGAGGCGGCACGGCAGGCAGGGGCAGACGCTGCGGGAAGGTCAAGTGGGGCGACAGGCCCTGGCAAGGACAGTGTCCGAGATGTGGTGAGGGCAGCAGCTGAGTCAGGGGAGGATGGACAGTGAACATGTGAAGCTGAAAAGAGATTTCAGAAAAAGCAGCACAGAAACAGCTTTTGGACAGACCGGAGCTCAGCAGCTGGAGAAGCCGCAGGGCAGCTGACTCGGGCCAGCTGTCGGCCTCCTTCACCTCGCGGCGCACCGCCGTTTATGCCGCCTCACCTTAGGAAGCGGCGGTTTTCCTTCTTCCTTTCTTCTCATCTTAAGAAGTCAAATCCGAGCTGTCTTTTGGAGCCTCAGGTGGAGGCAATAGGGAATGAGGATCAATACACATAGGCCAAAGAATGGTGTTTCTCTCTTTTATTTAAAAACAGTGCTTCATTACCATTTGCAAAGGCTGAGGCAGTGCTCCTCCTTCGCTTAGAGTTTATAAAAGCCAGCAACATGATCAATAATTTATACACATGGAGAGTAATACAAAAAAATAAGGAATAAAAGCTAAAGATCTAACTACTCCGACCTTCACAATTCCAGCTACTTGGTAATAATAGGAGTAACCCAATGAATACTGTATGGTCTGAAAGCTACTATACAATATGATTCTTAACGAGAAGGGAAGGGAATAGAGACTGTCACAAAGCCCTGGGATGCTTCTCTGGAGTTAGCAGGGAAACAGGACCCTGGGCAAGCAGCTCGGGTGTCCTAGGAAGTGATTCTGGGAGGACGGGAGGGGAAAGAGAAGGCTAGGTGGTCAGTTACACAAGCATCCCATGTGATGCCCCCATGCCCCAAAGGTACCTGTTTTGTCACGGCAATGGGAGGGGCCAGAGACACTGCATGTTGCATGTAGGGGTGGCCCAGTCCCTGCCACGGGGAGTGGGGAGAAGAGGAGAGGTTTTGTGGCATTTTGAGCCTTGCAAAGATTTGGACTGAAAGCTCAGAGACTCAGGTAGGTCAGCCTGTCGGGGACAAGTAAACTCCACTGGCTCTCTTCTCACTTTGCAGCCCTAGCTTACGTGTGTCAGCCCCAGGTTGCTCCAGCTATTCACAAGCAGAATTATAACACGAGAAAAAAAAATGCATATCCCTTAGGGAAAAAAGAGGATCAATTCATCACTCGATATATAATACAGCCAAAATGAGCTGCCAAAACAAGCACACACACACACAAAAATACTGTGAACAGAAAAATACAAGAAAATGACTAAGCTGGGAGTCTTGTTGGGGTATAGACATTGCTTAAAGCACTTAGTCCCCGGAAAAACCAAACCAAAAAAAATTTTTAAGAAAATTCAAAAACTCATGTGCCCCCTGGGAAACTGGTGTTGGTAACAGGGGCAGAGGGTGGGGAGAGAAAAGAGAATCGCTGTTCCCTTTTTGCTCGCCAGGGTGAGTGGAGCCCTCACATCACTGGCATGTACACAGCCACCAGACAGAGGACCAGGCCCCCACGCTGGTGGTCTCCTTGAAGGCAAGGTCTGCGTTTTGGCTGAGGAGCAGTTCTCTCAGTTACCAATCCCTGCCAACCAGCACTACCATGGCTGAATTGATCTACCGTTTCCTGAGTAAACTGTAACTGGCTACAGTTTCGGTAACATGGATAAGAACTCAGCTACTACAGCCAACTGCGATACTTCAGGAATCCCCTCCATCCCATCCCTCGGCTCCTCATTCCTAGTGCATCTGATGGAGGAATTTGATAACTCGCTGCAGTCTGTACGCCTTACTTTCAGAGAAAGGTGCCAGGGACTCCACTGCACTCACTAAACCAGAGGGCACATGCTGGCTTAGGACACCCAGAGCCTACTTGGAAAGGGCCCTGTTTCATGCTCTAGCTCTTGGATGGCTATTGCCTGGTTGATCAGTAAAGCAAGTATGAAGGAAGTAGATAGGAAAAGGAAAGGGAGGGAAGAGGCTTTTGGACAGTAACATTTCCAAAAAAGAGAAAAAAAATAGTGTTTTATGCAACAGAGAATCAAGTTTCACTGTGTATACTACAAATGGTCAAACATTTTCAAGAGCATGACAAAATAAAAACACACAAATTTACGTCTGATGTTCACCTTGCCCACTATTTTTTTCCTATCTTAAAAACAGTGCAAACAGGTAACTTATGCTTTTAAAACACCACGACCCCTTCCCCACCCCCCAAAGTCCCTTTCCTCCTAGTATCTGGGGGAAAAATCTGCAATTCTGCAAATGTTACTGTGCTAGATAGTTGCAAGCAGCAGACAGCTGCTGGACTGGGTGAAAGGGGAAGGTCCATCCAACAGCTCCCCCTTTACCCTCCACCTTAAGGGTGTCTAAGCCGCTATCCAGACTGTCCCTTGGTCGGCCTGGATCTCCTGCCAGAGGAAAGGGGGGTTTATCATGCCCTTTTTGCATATCCTTGGGGTTGCTTCCATCCCTATTTGACACCTCCCTTGTATCTGGAAGCTACATGACTAGTTAGTTATAGGATGGTAGTGATTAACCGACTTATCTGCTGTAACTCTAGTAAAGCATATCCTAAACTAAGAGCAGTTCAGCCCCTGAGGAGTCGCGCATTTGAGGAAAAGCTGCTATCACTGATTTCTATTGACTATATCTCCACTAGCTCCCCTTAAAGTAAGAGTTGAGCCCCAGGCCCCTTCTTTTTCAAAGAAAAAAACCCGTTGGCTCAATTCAGACTGTGGCTGTTGGAGGATGACGGTGCTAGTAGGTTTTGTTCAACCTGAGCCTTAAAAATGATGAATCACAATGGCTGATCTGAGTTAATGGGAGTCAAACTAAGTAACACAAGGAATTCTGGAGAAGACCTAAGGGCAGCTCTCTGGGCTGAAAGAGGGATACTGAGATAAAGGTCTTCACTAGAGGTCTCTTTAAAGGAGCCCAGCTTTAAGAGTTAAGATGCTCAGTATATAAAGTCCAGATCAGAAACTACAGTAAAGCTGAAAAAAAATCATTCATGTACTGTGATTCACCATCAGTAAGGTTTTTGGAACTATCAACCAGCATCCTCTAATGAACTCACAAAATGCCAGACTCCTCTGACTCTGCATCTTAATCTGGTGAGAACCAGAATCAGGAATATACAAGCATTGCTGCTTTGAGGAACCTGCCTCTGATGAATTTGACTGTATGGAGTCTCAAAGTTCAAAAGCTGATGGGGAGGTTGATACTGTGAAATCTAGATGCTTATGAGAGCCCCAATTCTCAGTGTTGACACTGAAAACCAAAGACTCGTTCATAAAAAGCAGAACTCCATTTAGTCTTTCTTAGAAAAGGGAGCTGGAGGAAGCGGTTATTAAGAACCATCCCTGGAAATGCAGCAGAAACCCATTGAGAAACAGAGCTTGCCTTCAGAGGCCTCAGCCAGAACCAGCTGAACTGAAATGCACAAAAGGTACCTCAAGCTCAAGCTTCTGCCTCTTTTAAAAGGGCTGTGGGAGCTGCCTTCTCTACCTTTCCCATCATCCTTATCTTTTTCTAGGAACAAAGAAGAGAAAAATTCTGAAACTCATTCCCCTATTCTCCTCCCCTGCTATGGATACAACCATTTAGAATTTGGCCTTGTCTCCACTGAGTAAATGACTTGCCATTTTCTCAGAATGGCCCCTATTTGATCATGACCCCAAATTCCTTTCAGTTTCTTTAGTTCAGTAAAAGTTATCCCTCAAAACAAAAGCAAAAGAAAAATCCTCCCTGCCCCCATTCCCTAGAACTGTGAAAGCCCCACATCCCACTCCCCCCTCCTCTAACTAAAATATTTATATACATACAACGAAAATTGTCTTAACAGCAACAAAACAAACTTTGGCTTGGGGGGGCCCTTAAAAAATGGCCAGTGGACTGGGCAGTTTTGTGTCCCCTTATTCTACGTATTCCTCCCCAGAATTAATAATTGCATCGAGGCCTCTAGCTTCCTTGACGTCTCCCCGAGTTTCAGGCACAGCATCTCCCCAGTTATTAGGGGAAAGGATTCTGAAGGGGGAGAAGATATGTGTTATATATGACAGGCCAGTGCCCTCCCAGATATATCACTCTGCTTACAAAGAATGCTTCATGCTGTCATAGGTCAGTCATTTTAATTCAGGGACATGAATCAGTTACCAGTCAAGAACATGTGTGGAGGCAGGAGTTAAAAAAACAAACCAAAAACAAAGCCATAACAAACCAGAAACTCCATGTCTCTGAATTACTCCCTTTAGCAGCTATCCTTTGGGTGAAAGGTCACCCTAGTACCAATGTGAACAGACCAGGGAGCCAAAAAGACCGTGCTTTCCTATATCCTAATGCCTTCATTTTGGAAATGCTGTAGGACACTTGCTTTTATCAGTTATATCAAATAGCTAGAAGAGAAATACTTTCTCCCCTACTTTGATAGCATATGAAATTAAAGCCAGATAGCAATAGCAGTGACTCACTGCTGTGGCCACTGCATGACTCTTTCTGGCAATATATTATTAAGATCCTTGCCATTTCAGACCCTCCTTCCAATATGGGAGGGGAGCAACCTCGGGGGCTCCGTATTTTATGTCCTGTAGTGTTAATGTATACCAAGTGGTCCAGGTGCTCAGCTGGGTGTCTCTGGAGGATAACGAGAAGCTGGGTGGAATGGCCACAAGGGCTCGAGACTGTGGATAGAGAAGTGACTCATAAAGGCTCTGGAAGATGAAAATTCCTATGGCTTTGGAGTGAGTACAAAGTGCCTCTGTCTGCCCTTACGTGTCCTAATCACCAAAACTTCCAGGGACAGCTGACCTAGGACCTGGTGCTTTATTTTTCCTCAACAGATTCTTTATTATATTTTTTATACTTTGTTTGTACTTTCTGATGTAAGAAAAAGATAAGGAATATCAGATCTTCTAACATTCCTTTTCTCTTCCTTACTCTCTTTAATGGCTGTCAGCAATTTGTACTTCTAATCCTCAAGCTGTGTCCAGATACCTGGGGTGGAAATCTGGCCACTGGCTTATTCTTCTGTCCCTGGGTCCTAAATTCCTGAATCTTGAGGACATGGGAGCAGGGTGTTAATAAAAGAACAGATGAGCTAAGCTGAGGTTCAATTAAAGGAGAAGAAGCCCAGCAGGAATGCTAGGATTACAGGAAAGAAAAGAAATGATCTTTTTCATACTCCAGAGTTCATTCCGAGATCGGTTTCCTAATGAGGTGTTTATTATCCACAGTCTGAGAGCATGTTTGGAAATATCAATACTGTAATTCCAAAAATTATGCCACCTGTCTCAGGCTGTGCATGTAAGATGATTGTAAAAAGAATGGAGAAGACAGGAGGGAAGAAGAGAGGAAAGCGTCTTTTTAATTCTCCTGCTTTATAAGCACAAATTCCTATCTATCAGCATGTGGATTCCAGCCACAGCCAATCAGAATTGCCTGCCAAAGACCAGAAACTCAGAAGACTAGAAGAATATCTTGCTGCGGAAGATCTCTTCCACTTTTGCTTGTCCCCCAGCAATTCAGCACCAGATACACTTTGGTAATTCTGTCTGCTGATTTCTGATCAGATGCACTTATCAGCTCCTAATGTCTCTCCTTCCTCCTTAATTGCCTCTTCCGTGATAGAATAAGCTAAGCACGGACATACAGACATGGAAATGCATTATTTTTTTTTTTTTTTTACCACAGTTAAAAAAAAAGAAAACAAAAAAAAAGAAAAAATGCACAATCTTTGGAACAAAAGAATTAAAGGCAGAAATTTAAAGGAAAAATACATATTCAAAGAACATAGTGAGGTATAAAAAAGTATTCTCTCTTTTTTTGTGTTTTTTTGTTTGTTTGTTTGTTTGCTTTTCCTCTTCATCTTGCTATAGAGTTCCTCTACTAGTAAATATTGCAATAGCCAGGCCTCATGAACTGGGGGGCTGTCCCATTTGCAGGGGTCTCACGTCACTTCAGTAGGGGGCAAATCGGCTGTAGCCACCTCGGTATAAACTCGCCTGCAGTAATTAAAGACATAAAAATAATTAAAAGGTTAATGAGAGAAACATTAAAAATAAAAAAAAAATGTTCTGAGAAGGGGGATTTGGAAAAACAGCTTCCTTTGAAGCCCGAAAGCAACAATGAAGTCAGGAAACCAACTTCTGCCTCTAAGCTGCTCAAACCAGAGCCCAACGAATTTATTGCGGACCTGATGTTCTCAAGCAGAGTCTGATGATAGTTTATTTCATTATTTACATGAATTAGCACAGAAGGGAAACTTAATACAGTTTAAAACTAGTTCTGCAAATAGTTTGACTTTTGAAAGCACAGGTCTTTGATTACCTTGATACATCCTTATAATCCGGACCAAAAACAGATCACTGATTTCCCTTCCTTACACGTTACCCATCAGTGGACACATGTTACTTCTGACCACTATCTTTGGCATGTGTGGTTGCAGCCATGTCTCAGACGGTGCTATATGTATACCTGAGTCAATCTTGAATAAAGTCTATTTCCTCTATCATCTATAAAATACACCAACCAGGTTGTTTCTTGACATATTCAAATTTATATACATAGCTGGGATTTTAACTAGGCATTATTCCTTTATTTTATCTTTATCAAATGACTTACCTAATGGCTTATTTCTTTCAATTTTAAGTTTCCCAGGAATGTATCTTTCTTGGGTCATTTTTTGGAATGGATATAGGGTTTCTATTATTTTGGCACTAAATAAAACCTCAGGAATTTCCACCACTGTCCTTCTATTGTAGGTCTCTACCTCAATTCTAAACATAACTTTCCCTCTGGACCCTATGACTTCCTTTCACAAATCTTCATCAGTAGAAATTTAGTGTGAGAAATGACTGACTTTCTTATATTGCTTTTGGCCTTAAATTTTACACTTCATTCTGTCTCCCCCTCAAACAACTTTGCTCATGTTCAGAGAAAGTTGCCTAGTTGCATTCTGGCTTGGAGAAACGCCTGGCATTAGGAAGTGTCATCGAGGAACGGCCTGTCTCCGTTGTAGTCAACAAGTCCCAGTGACTGGAACTGGAGGCATCCAAGCCAACACAAGAACAGTGCAGTGAGGATTTCGGTTAGGGGAGATTATTCTAGATGAGCTCTATGGACTTCTTCTATACTTTCACGAAAACACCATATTTTGCCACAATTGTTATCAATAAAATATTCCCATAAAGCATTCTCTTAGCGACTTCTAGTACTATCTACCAGAAGGCTTAGGAACAGCACAGACATCCTTTGGTATTTGTACTTGAAACTTATATACGTTAAGTTTTTGAAAAGTATTATGTTCACAAGTCTTTGCTAATACCTGTCACTAGAACTATGCCACAGGTATGTACCCAACATTTAAACCAATATAAAACATCAACCTGTTCCCTTATTTCTCTCCCAAATTATGTTATTACTTAGGGCAGACTGTCCATATTCATTCCTTTTTGTTGCCCTTCACTAGGCCATGTGGCTAGTAGTATAACACACAGAAAAAGAGGGTGATATGAAATTTCCAGCTAGACCTTTGTGGCTTTAATACTTTGGCAACAGACAAAGGGTTAAATTTACTACCTCCCTAGATTTTTGTAGTCTGTGGGGAACATTTAGAAGGGGTAAAATGGTTTAAGAAAAAAAGGTGTGTATACTTACCACAGCGCCAACTCCATAGCTAGCGGCAGGGGCAAGGGCATGGTAGGGGTCAGCTGTGTACACCCTGCCGTAACTGAAAAGAAGAAACGCAATCAGAGAGAATAAAGGAAAGAATGTGATTTAAAAAAATTCAAGGGTTTACTGTGCTAAAGACTTATGAGTCACTTGGTCTTGGACTGTTATCAGGAAACTGGCAGAACAGAAAAAACTTTTCTATTTCTGCTCCTAAATTCAGTAACTCTGAAAAATTCTGAAGTAATTGTAAAAAATGGAAAAGAAGGGAACTAAAGATGAGGAAAAGGGAGACTGTAGGCAAAGCCAAAGAAGAGACAGGAACAAGAGAGGGAGCAGGGGACAGAGTTAGTGCCTTGTGCCTTGGGCATGATGGAGGCCATAAAGAGAGGGTCTACAGAAAACCCAGGCTGGCAGGATGCCCAACATGCTAAGCGCTGTGCGGAAATGGCAAAGGGAGAGAAAAGGGTGATGTTTTGGATGGGACAGTGCTCACGGCCTCCCAAAGCTCACTTCTTGCTTTCTCTACATACCCGTCGCTGTAAGCGGCTGCAGCGGCTGCAGCAGCGGTGGCTGCGGTTGCAGTAGCAGGCTGTGCATATCTGTAGGCTGCATATCCACCCTACAGGAGAGAAGAGAACTGACTTTACAGATACCTCTCCCCCCGGGTGGACAGATAAACACGCACCCACCCACACACAGACATACGCTCACATGTGGACACAGGGACAGACACAAACACAGACACACACATGGGAAGAAAATGTTTCAAACTGCATCAGTCTACATGTTATTATTCCTTTAATAGAAAATTAAGCTCCACCCAATGCAGGGATTTGCTTTCCAATTTGTGATAATATTAAAAATAAACTATACTGGTAATACCTGTTAAATATAAGAAACAAAATTATGCTTTTGGATCTGTCTTACTTTAATAGTCTTTGCTGGAACTCTCAACAGGGAAAATATTCACAGGAAGCTGAGAGAACTCTGATAAGAAACATAAATTATAGAGTCAGAATCTATTAAGTTTATATTTGTTAACTTCTGATTCTCTGATGTGTACTTGGATTGATGCATTACTAAGAGACTATGGTATGTAACAGAAAGGTCAGCTATAGAGTTCTGCTCCACCTCACAGAGCACATTTGCCGAGAAGCTAATATAATAAGGCAATATTTAGAAGGAAAAAACAACATGGTTCTGGGGTCAGCAAACTTTGGCCAGTGAGCCAACGCACCTTGCCACCTGGTTTTGAAAGTACTTGTGACAGAGACTTTCTGGACTACAGAGCCAAAAATATTTACCACCTGGTAATAAGTCTGCCAACTCCAATCTACAGGCAAATCAGATTACAAATTTCTGAAGATTCTTTGGCTAGATTCAAGTAGATTGGGAGCCCCATCTCCAGCATTTAACAGCATTAATTTTCTTTCCCTGAAAGGTTTTGAGATTCTTACATGCTAATCTCACAGCAGGCTCTGGAGCTTTTCTTCCAGCGGTTCACATATTCTCTCAGTCCTAAAGAGTTTCAAACCATCACATCCTCCTATTTCACCTCTGTTTTCATGAATCGAATACACAAAGGATTTTCACTATCTGGGAGAACCATACGTACCCTTTCAGAAAGTATTTCAAAGACAATGGCAACAACAAATGCCACACAGGCTATTTTAAAAAGTGGCAAGCCCTACTTTTTCTGCTTTTTCTTTAACCTTTAGAATGCATCTACTTTACCTAGACCTAATTCAGATGTGAATTTTTATTCTTGCCCTTTGACTATCAAAAATAACTATGTTCAATCGGTCTATCTGAACACCATTTCAGTACTGAACAATAGCATAAACATTTTATTTCTGTAGATTAAATGTGTCCATTTCTTATGGATATCTGAAACTTTTTGTTCTGTGCTTTCTACTTTCTATTCCTTCAAACAGTCAATTTTTGCTAAATCTACAAAAGAAATTTTGAATTTACTTCTGTATCATTTCTGAGGATTGAAAACAAATATTTTCTAAGGGGACCCTAGTTCTAATTATATGGCAGCTTCTAGCTTGCTTCTTTTATTTTTCTTTAGTCTTATTTTGGAAATACCTACAATTTCTTATGAGCTTCTAAAGCATTTTGCTTCTGAGATAATTTATGCTTTCTCTAACTGAAGAAAATGCACTATGAGGGAAAATTTACTTTTGTTCTTTAAGTTTATGCTGCTCGAAGTCATCAAAAGTAGCTTCAAATGTACATTAAAAAAAATCCCTGGTTGCCTTTCAGTGGTTAGGCATTATTCCTTCTTTGTTCTTCAAGTGAGTCACTTGGAAAAGTAAACATTTCCTTTTCAATTACAAATTCTTCTACAGATGTTCATATAAATAAGAAGATCCTAATTAATATTATCAAGCACTGGCAATGAAATGGTAACGGACAGGGACAAGGCAGGAAGCACCCTCCGGGCTGTTTTGACCAATACAGTTACTTGGAACTGTACAGATCCACGGGAATGGGCAGGCCAGACTGATCCTAGTAGAGCTTATCCCAGCAACAACATATATTTAACTAGCTGAAGTATTTCTTTCCCTTAGTTCTTTTTTAAAGCTTCTAAAGAGGAAATGAAGCAGTTAAAGCATTTGCTAAACAAAGCAAAAGTTAATTACAGCTGGAATTTTAAGCCTTAAATGAACCTTAAAGGCACAATTTTTCATCATAACTAGATATGGTTCCATTAGTTTAAAATTAAAGTTTGCTAGTGTAAAGTGTGGTTTGTTTCTTTCGCATTCCTCCAAATGTCAAAATAATATTTAAAAATTAAGGTACTAAAAGTAGTTAAAGCTCTATTCATGTTTACCTAAGTAAAAATTTAAAAACCGAAGTCCTATGACATATGGCAGAGGTATAAATTCTCATCAAGGGATTCTGAGGGTCAAAAGCACTCATCTGGGGATGGGTTTCAGACCTGACTTTTAGGAGGTCTGAGTGGAGATACTGGGGTTTCAATCTCTCTGAATATTCTATCAAATCATGGTTTTGAGCTGTATTCCACTAATTCTGGAAAAAAGAAATTCTAAGAAGGTTATTGACAGAAGCATTTCCCTTCACTTTCCTAGGCCTGCAAGAAGCCATCAGGACCTCAGTGGTTTAGGAATAATATTATTGTTAACCAAAACAATTCAAAATGCATCAGACTATGTGGGGAAAGAATCTTCCTTCCAATCCAGAAGGAGATGGAAAGAATCTGTCAGCAATAGTTTCCTTCTTTTGTAAGTAAACTCTGACTTTGGAGTTTGAACTTGATGAAGTTATCTATTATTCAAATTCAATAATGCAAATATTTTATTGACAACAAAAGGCTTGAGAAGAATATCAGCATTAAGAAAAACCAAATTGGCCGGGTGCGGTGGCTCACGCCTGTAATCCTAGCTCTCTGGGAGGCCGAGGCGGGCGGATTGTTTGAGCTCAGGAGTTCGAAACCAGCCTGAGCAAGAGCAAGACCCCATCTCTACTAAAAATTAGAAAGAAATTAATCGGACAACTAGAAATATATAGAAAAAATTAGCCGGGCATGGTGGCGCGTGCCTGTAGTCCCAGCTACTCGGGAGGCTGAGGCAGTAGGATCACTTGAGCCCAGGAGTCTGAGGTTGCTGTGAGCTAGGATGACACCACGGCACTCACTCTAGCCAGGGCAACAGAGTGAGACTCTGTCTCAGAAAAAAAAAAAAAGAAAAACCAAATTAATAGTCTTTTTTTAAACAGATGATATTTCAACTTCACTACTCTCCTAATTACCTTAGGATAATGGTGTTACGGAGAGGCCCTTTAAAAGAAGAATATGTTTAGGATGGATAAGTAATATCCTATGAATTTGGTAATTCATTCATGACTACCCCAAAAGTAGAAAAATTCAATCGTATATCATGGATTTAGTCCTCTTAGATATATTCTTACTCCAAAGTACTCTGCTACTGCTTAACTTAGTTATTCAACAAAATATATCACAAAATGTAAGACAAAGAAAAAATTCAGATGTATTAATTTCTATTCTGGATTTTGGAGTACATAACAATTCCAGGCTGAGAAGCTGTTTTCTCATCTTTCATTCCTACTAGCAAATCTGAAGGGTTTTACAAAACATGAGAACAAAGTGCAGTTTGAAACACCAAGGTTTTCATTACTGTTTCTTAAGTTTTTCAAAAAGAACAAGGGTGGGAAGGAGGTAAAAGAGACAGGGTTCAGGCGTGGGGCGGGGATATGGCGCCACATTTATTAATCACATTAAAAACTAAGCATGCCAACATCTGGAGCTAAAACAACCAGCAAAATCACCACGTTCAGACTCGTATTGGCTAACTCTATCTATCCCAGCATTCTCTTGGGACAGCGGTTTGCCCTAGGCTCTACCACAAGCTCGGTGAAGTACACAGCCTCAATTACTAGAGCGTGCAGCCACAACGACCTGGTATTACGGAAACAGTCAGTCACCACTTGAGTTAACATTCCATACCCTAACGACTGGCCCCTCCCCAGCCCAAAGAAATAGTAAATCTTGCCCACCCTAGCCCTGGCCCACACCACAATGTTAATAATTATAACAAGCAGTAACCCATCTGTTATATCAGAGAAGGGAACAGAGACTCCACTGAGAGATTTAGAGTGAGATGTTAACATTTCTTCAGCTGACTGCACAAACAAACAAACAAAAAAAAAAAAGAGGAGAAATAATTCATTTGGAGATATGAAGTCATGAAATAGCTGATGTGTATTGCTTTTAACCATGCACTGATGCAAAACTGAAGCAACCATTAATAATAAAAATTAAAAAGGACATATGTATTTACACACAATCAGACCTGTTTGATCTGAAGCAGTTTGCAGATTCTATCTGTGTGTGATTTGAAATAAAACAAAAAATGGGGATTAGCATGGCCACAGCACATCCTAATGTAGGAGGGCACACACGGACAGCTTTTTGGAACTCTGATAGCTGGATACATTTGGCATGGCTAAGCTTGATTCAAATACACACATGCCCCTTTACAAAGAATCACTTCCTTATTCCTTTGCAGTTCATGACTCCTAGTGTCCCCAGCTGGGGCAGCCCAGGGCTCCATCACTCTTCTATTCAACCTGCCTGACCCTGGCAACATAATTCCGCCCTGACCCACAGCACTCAGGTATATGTTCACCCCGTCAACAGCCATATATTCTGATCCACACAGTTCTTCTAAAATGTTTCCTAGTGTTTAGGAATTTTGAGTTTTCACATATCCACAACATATCTCTGTCTCCAACTTCCAGCTTTTTCAAAGGAAACTGCCTTTGAAAAGTTGCCTTTAAGATCTTTTTCTGTAATGTCTTCTGCAGTTGTTAAAGTCTCAGTTTCCCATGGCTCAATGTCACCTCCTAGGGATTATCTACTCTGCACTGAATCAATTTTATCATCTAATTAACTGTATAATGTTGCCACGCTGATCACACGATTCTTTCGCAGTTCCGTAGCTGTGTTTTAAACTAGAACAAAATGGAAGGGTTCTAAAGATCATCCTTCCTATAGCTGACCTTTAACTATTAGTTTAATCTCACACTGGGAGACTTTTGCCTTGTCTTGATTTTAACCTAGCCTTTAATTTCACTATATTTTTCTTTTACGTTTACATTAAAACAGGACTTTGGTGAGCATGTGATGTCAAGACACCTTCTTTCTACCTGGAAGACAATGACATTATGTGACACTGAGGAGGAAAGTGTGTTTCAAGACCAGCAGACAAAATGAAAGCTTGTTACCTACATGTAGTGTATTGATCAATAGAGCAAGGTGAGTGGGGGAGGGGAGGGAATGGCATGTGCAATACTTAAAATCGCTACAGCAGAGCAGAGATCTATTCCAACTAGCGTGGGTTCAATGCTGGGCCTATGGGAATCACTTTACTTATTCCTACATGATTCTAACTCCCTCTTTCCCCTCCTCGCTCCTACTGAGAACCACTGCTCTAGGAGACATTATAGAGTTCTTATGTGGCAATAGAGCATCTTTGATTAAATATGAATAATGTAGACCTGAATACAAAAACTTACAGTAATGGTAATACTGTTACTGCTTTTGAAAGATCTACTTTGAAAAGTAGTTATAAAATTTTTTAAGTATTTAAATTTTCTTATTATTACTTAAAATTAGAGTTAAGGGAAGAAACTGTTATGATCAACTTGGTATCTTCCACTTATTACTTCTATGATAGATGAGAGATGATCTTCAATGAATCAAATCTTTCTAACACTTTACTATTCCACATCTGCCTGATACTAGTTCATTTCCAAAATCTCGCTGAGTAATTACATAAATAAACTAACTGCATTGTAAAAAGCCATTAACTGTTTTCTTTCTCCTAGCATCCAGCTATCAGCAAATCTTCTAATAATAGCGTGTTATTATCCAAATGAACTTACTGATCTTCTCAGGTGAAAGGAAAAGAGGGCAAGAGAAATGCCCGCCTCAATTTTTGAGTCCTAATACATCTAGATTTTAAAGGCAAATTCAAACTTACGTAGCAGCACAGTACAATTACTACTAGGATTTCACTATAGGTCGCAATGTAGGATTCAGGAATCCTATGTGGACAGAGTTCTACTTCCTCTCTTTCCTTAGTTCTTCCATAGCATTAAGAAATATCCCCAACTGCTGAGATCTCCAATATAAAAAACCAGTTTAAATACCTTGGGTAGATGTGATTGGCAAATTAAAAGGGGTGACAGTGATGGGACAGTGCATATAAGATGCCTGGCATGGATATGTGGCAAGGGGACAGGAGCACTTAATTTCGGAGGAAGTGCTATTATGTACGGAACGTGACTGTGTGCACTGCTGAGGTAGCAGGGCTTAGATCACACGCTCACAAGTCTTGATTGTCCAAAAAAGCCTCTGTTCCCATCTCTAACGTGGAGCTGGAATGGTTAGTATAATTCAATTTTTTCACTGCAATCCACAATCTGATTGATTGGCAGGTCACACTGGCACTCCTACCTGAGGTATTTTAGCGCTAATGATTGGTTCCTGTAAGACTATTCTATAACAGAACACAGGAAGAGCAGTTCAAAAAACACAGCTGTAGAAGGAAAACAATCATACAAAAAGCCCACTAAGGGGCCCACCAGCCTTTTCTTTCCTTTGGATGCAAGCATGCTTTTCACAGGATGAGAATTGGGAACAGTTTGTTATCCCATTTAAAAAGTGAATTAGGGTGAACTATGCCTTTTCTACTGGTCAAAAAAGAGAGAGGAGGGGTGGACACAATCTATCTGCCACACTCCTAAATTCTATCATGGAGGATCTCTTTATAAACTAGGGACACAATTGCTAGATCAGTTTTCCAGAGAGGAATGTGCCATAAAAGAAACAGAAAGAAAGAAAATGGCTAGCAGGGATCACTGTCTAAGAACAGGACAGAGAAAGGGATTACAAAAACCCTCCATAATTAATAGTCCAATTAATATAAATTAAGCAAAACCAGCAACTTAAAATCTTTTCCCTTGTGTCTTCTCTTCAAGCTCTCATTCAGTGCACCATTTATACTAGAAAAACCCTCTATTCTTTCTAGTTCTAATATGTGTTTCAGAGGAAACAAGAACTAAATGCATATTGATAAATTTCCACAAATAGAAAAATATGCAAAGAGAAGTGAAACAAACTCAAGGCAAAACAATAGGTCTTTTTTGTTTGTGTATGTTTTTAAAAAGCATCCTTTGCTTCCTCACATGTGGAATACAGAATACAGTGTTTTAGAAGTTGTAGTTATATTAGGCCTAATGTAACAGTTACCTCATAACTTATTGTTGCTTTTCATTTGTGGGCATGGGTATTATTTCATCACTAGCAACTAACTTTTTTTTTCTAAGTAACCCTGCTTTAAGATAGGAACTAAGAAAGATAATAACATTACTAGTAATTACTTTCTTGAACAAGGGACCACTGGTCAAAAAAAAATATTTCGGCAAAATCACTGAATTAGTCATGTTTAGCTTGATAAGGTAATCCAGTCAATAGATAAAAAAATAAGAGTATTTTCTTGAAAGGTACAGAGAAATCGTCTCTCTCAATAAAATCTTATAAAGTAAGGAAATAAGAGAACCATAAGCAAATA